GCAGGCAGAGCCCGGCTCACACCCCACAGCACGTCGCTTCAGGGCCTTTATTTCGGAGAAAGTTCAAGCCTGTAGATACAGCAATAAAATATACAAAAAAATAAAATTTTTTTACAGTATCGAATGCTGCCGGGGACTGCGGCCGGAGGCAGTGAGCGAGCAGAGGGGCAAAGGGCCCTCATTGCCCTTCAGCAGCCCCAGGGCCAGCCACAAACCCCCTTCCTGCTCCCACACAGCCTGGAGGGGCTTGCCCAGACCCCACAGCCACGGGGATCCTCCCCCTGCCCTCTGGTTCCCTGCCACCAGCTGTGATGCAACTCGGAGGGAGCAGCTCTGCCACTGCCTCCCCCACCCCTCCACTGCTCATCTGTGTCTGCTTGCCCACTGCATGGAAAGGGCAGGAGGGCTCCCCCAGTTCTGTTAAATGCAGGACCAACCCCCCAAAAGTCAGGACACTGCCCTTCACAACACCCCTGTCACTGTCCTGCACTGCCCCACAGCAGGTTCCTCTCCTCACATCCACTTGCTCCCTTCAACTCTTGACCCTTCCCACCTTAACTGTGAGGGCCAACCTCCAACAGAAATGCCACATGAAGCCCCCAAGAAGCTGCAGACCCCATGCCTGGCCCCTCACAACCCAGAGAGAAAGGCACAGGCCAGGTGCCCCACTGTCAGCCATGCTGGCTCCCCCAATTCCCCAGGGTCCAACTCAGCACAGGGCTGGAAGCAAGACCCTGCTCCCAGCACCAGCCTGGCCACAGGGAAGCCAGGACAGCCCCTGTGGCTTTACCCAGATCCCAAAATGGGCAACAGCTGCAGATGCTGTTCACACACAGGTGCCATTACTGGGTAGCAGCACTGCCCTACCCCAGGGACACCAGCCATCCCAAAAAGAGCCCGGGCTGCTGGCACTGGCCAGGTCACTGTGCCCAAAGCAGGAAGCTGAGGACAAGCACAAGCAGCTCCTGAACCTCTGGGTTCCAGCAAACCCAGGCTGAGTCCAGCAGGGGCAGTGCCTGCTGAGCCCAGGGTGGGAGCACCTGGATACATCCACCTGCAGCTCTGAGCCCTGTCCTGGTCATCCTGGCCAAAACCAGGTGGGCGCAGAGAGGGGACTCACCCCAGCACCCTGCCGGCTCTAGGAGGTGCTGGGAGCAGCAGGGCAGACCCTGCCACATGGCCAAGCCCCTCTGCAATTCCAGATTTGTGAGTGGGCACAGTCAGGGCAGCAGCTTCCAGCAGCGGGACCGGGGCTGTGGAAGCGTTTGTAGGAACTGTGGCTGCAATCGGAGGCAAATAGGCACTTGAATGAGCAAAAATAATAGAAAACTGTTATGGAAGGAAATAGAAAAAGGTTCATCCCCCTCCCCCAGAGATGAGCTGCACCACCCCAGAGAGGGGCTGGGTTAGGTGAGGACCTGACCCATGCAGGGACCCCAGCAGTTCCTGGAGCAGCTGCAGCCGAGTGGGACAAATCCAGGGGAGGCTCTGGAGGTGGGAAGGCTGAGCCGCAGCCCCTCACATGGGCGAGGACGCGCACTCTGGGGTCAACTCCATGTCGAANCATCTCTGTCTTCTTCCTGCACATCCCCATGCATCCCTGTCCTCTCCCTGCATCCCTGCACATCCCCATGCATCCCTGTACATTCCCATGTATCCCTGGCCTCTCCCTGCATCCCTGCTCTCCCTTGCAGAGCTCAGGTTGCCACAGTAACCACTCAGTCCCAGCTGCTCCAGCCACTAATGTGCTGCCACAGGTCAGCCCAGTGCAGCTGCTGCACCAGGGCCAGGGCCCTTCACCCCATGGCAGGGTGAGCAGAGCCCTTGGTGCTGCTTCTACCATGCACTGTGAGCCAGGATGGGACACCTGGAGGGAGACAGGCAGGTTGTGTCCTCCTGGAATGGCTGGAGGTGGTGTTTTTGGTGATCACACTGTGCTGCAGCTCTGGGTCTGACCTCTGCCACATGTGGCAGTGGAAGGCACCACTGCTTGGCTCTGCTCTGCTGTGTATTTATCTGAGTGTGATGCAATATTTATTTGGCTGTTGTGTTCTGAGCACTGGACGCAGGGTTTGGGATGGCTCTTGGCTTGGCCAGCAGTGCCATGTGCTCTGCAGCTCAGCACGTGTTGCTGTGGGAAGATCCTACCCTGGCTGGTCCTTGGAGTCTTTGCCTCCCACCCCTCACTGCAGCCCTGCTCATTCAGCTGCAGATAAACTGTGGCCTCTCTAATCCCTGTCTGCTGCCTTATTCCCAAGGACTGTCAATATTGCACAGCTCAGACACCCCAAAAACCAGTGGGACCCTGCCCAAGCCCCTGCTCTGGAGTGCCCCTGGCCCAGGGCTGCCCTGGCAGGTGGCTGCCCATCCCCACAGGGCTGCCCTGTGCCCGTCACGCATCCCAAGCGGATTATCTGCATTTGGAAACCCCTAATCCGTTTGCACGCTTGGCTCAGACACTGTCCCCACTCCTCCCCACTGTGCTGCGGGCCTGGGCAAGGAGCAAAGCCACCCTGTGACCTCCTTTTGGAGCCACAAACAACCTCCTGGCCCAGCACAGGCAGAAAGCAAGGGCTGCAGGGCTGACTGGGGCAGGAGGAGGGGGACAGGATGTTGGCAAGCATCCCTTGCCCCAGTTGCTGCTGGTGCTGCAGGGGCTCCTCCAGCCCAGCTCTGGGCATTTCTCCTGCTGCCCATCAGCTCCAGGAGCTCCCAGCCTGCTGCCCCCCAGAGCACTGACAGCAGAAACTCTGAGGTGGGAGCTTGACCCCATCACTCAGGGCTGGAGCAGGTGCCTGCAGGGATGCAGTGGGGCCAGGGAGATGAGGAACCCCTGATCTGCAGGAATAGGGAATCAAACACCACGTTCCTGACACCACATGGTTGTGGTAATCCCAGGGGTTGCAGATGGGTAGGAAAATTCCCTAGTCCTGGGTTCTCAACCCCATCCTGCAGCTGCCAGAGGGGAGCTGGTACCTGGCAGGGCAGGAGAAGGGGGGCTGGGCCTCACTCCCTTGTGAGCTGCCCCCACCTGCAGCACCCTGGGCTGCACCAGAGACAGGCAATGATCCAACACAGCTGCCTTGAGAGCAGGAATGGGTTTGTGGGGCCTGGGCAGAGCCCTGGCTTGGTTTGACAGTGAAATGCAGTGGGACTGGTTCCCAAAGCAGGGACACGGTCAGCTCAGCCCTGAGCACGATGCTCCAGGGCACACAGAGGGCAGAGAAGGCTCCAGTGCACCTCCAGCACCTCAAATGATGCAGCACAGCCAGTTCCACATGACCTGCACGAACAATCCCCCTAATCCTGCTCTGACAGAGAAATAATCTCTCCCTCTTGGCCTCATCAGAGCACAACCCCTGGAATGATCCTGTTCATGGTTCCTCTCCTCACATCCACGTGGTATTGCAGAGTGCTGGGGTGGGTTCCAGCAGGGCTGTGTGTGCAAAGCGTGTCACTGCCACCAGCCCATGCTCCCAGCATCACACACCCATCCAGCAGAGCCTGGCACCCCCTGCCCATCACCCCCCAGGGCAGAGGCACTCACAGGGGCCCCAGTGCAGCCCCAGGCTGAGAGCAGCCAGAGCAGGGCCCCAGCGCTGCGTGTCCTCCCACGCTGGCACCGGCATTTCCTTTACAAACTGCAGGAGACCCAGGCACAGCTCTGGGGCACAGAAAGCAACCACGGGCTG